CCCTACACTCTCAAAAAAAGGTCTATCTAAATAATCATTCAGCCAGACCTGGTCACACCCTCAGTACTTGGTGGCTTCTGGTGTGTTTTTTTTCCTGATAATGCTCAACCCGTATCTTTTTAGCCTGACGTGCGTTATAGCACTGCAAGCTATGCAAGCATGTGTTTGAGTTGCGCATCTGTGGTTCCGACAGAGTTGGTTTAATTCTGAATTAAAGGATCAGGCTTTTGAATAGCAAGAGTAAATGACCAGATCTGGTGACGAAGTTTGTCTGCAAAATGGCTCTGTCACATCATGTGAAAGTAATGATAGTGTCCTTTTACTTCTATAGCTGTCGTTGCAGGCAAAGGCTGAAGTCTGCCATGTGCAAGAAACAGCAGACCACCGCAGAACTCGTCAAGCCACTTTTATTAGTTAACTTATTCTTGAGAAGTTGGATCCTCAGTGATGTACAATAACACACAGAGCTTCCAATCCACTGCCCGCCTCTTTTTGGGAGTGCAGGTGGGAGAGGAAACTAAAAATAACGGAAAAGTGAGGCTTTGTGTGAATGATCCCATTCCAGCTGTTTTAAATGCTCAGGTAGATTGGAAGTGGTGCTGGGGAAGGGGAAAACTGGAGGCACTGGTAATGAAAACTCCCCGTATGAGAAACACGATCCTGAATCACAGTGGCGTGTTTGCCTACCATGTAAGATTTGTATTAAGGGGGCGGGAGGACTATGAAGTGGGAAAAGGGAAACTAGTAGGCTTTTATGAAATGGATCTAGATATTGTATGAGGCATTACTGTTTGTGTAATGCTTACTGAGTATCCAGGGTGATTTTGGGGCTGGCTGGTATGGATAGACGTCTCACTGGGCCTGTGGACTTGTGCTTCCAGGCTTATCAACATACCTCTTCTACAAATAAACTTAGGGCAGTTGGTGGAAGTGCTAGGTTATATGACAGGTAAGCAGTCTGTTGTGTCCTTGGGGCAACTCTGGTCTTGTGTAAGACTATTAGAAATACCTTCATAGTATGAACTTTCTGTTCTAGCAGTCTAATGAAGCAGCTGTTTAGGCACAGGAAACCCCTCTCAAGAGCTTGACTGATTTTTCTGCTCTTGTATGCTTTATTCCTGCAGTATTTTGCTTTGTGCTTCACCACTGTGTCCTGCGTTAGGGCCAGTGGTGTGCTCGGCGTGCTTTTGAGCAAACAGTTCTTGTTGCACAGATTGGTGGACTTAGTACTTAGATATTAGGTATGTGCCCTGCAAGGCCAAAGCGTTGGGTTCTTGCTTCGTCATCGGTTAGCATTTGTTGGCCTTGTGAAAGAAAAGGGTATTTCTAAAACAGATTTAGATCTGTTGGGGTCTTTTAAACATAGGGGCAGAACTGAGTGAAAACAGGCAATGGGGTCTTGCGGAGTGTGAGACTTCAAGACAAATGCAGGCAGCAGTATATTTATGTAAGGGGACAACGTATGATAAATTGTGTGTTTTCAGAAAACGGAATGAAAAAATGAACTAGTTGTTGCCAGTTTTTGTAATGAGGCATGAAGATGCGGGATTAACATTTATCACTTAATATACCAGGCAACACACTAACTAACATTTGGTGATGGCAATTCCAAATCTGGATAAAGAAAATTCAGCCATTCTAATAAAAGGTAAAGCACAGCAAATACATCCTTCTTTTATACTCTCTGACCAGTTCTTTGGGCAGCGGTAGGAATGAAACGGTTTGGGTTGCTGGGGGGATTTGATGCCCTTTAACCAGGGCACAAGGCAGTGGCCAAGGTAAGCATGTTTCTGAGGCGAAGCTCGCTGAGGTGTGCAGTACGTGTGGACAACTATGAGGCTGCCAATCTGATTCTTTCTTTTTTTTTTTTCTTTCAGATGGAAAGAATGCGAGTGGATCCAAACAGCGTTATAATCGTAAAAGAGAAACTTCATATTCAAAAAATGAGAACTTTTCCAGTCAGTCCCGTCGTTCCAATTCACAGAAAAGCAAAGCTTTTAACAAGATGCCCCCTCAAAGGGGAGGTAGTGGTGGAAGTGGCAAACTTTTTAGCTCTTGTAATGGTGGAAGACGAGATGAGGTGAGAATTGTAATGCCGTGCCTCCGAGGCCTTCTTTCTTGGGACGAGAGGATCACTCTGGCCTGCCTAGATAGGTCTTCTGTGTTCAGCTCCTGGGCTGGGAAAGGAAAGAGCTATAAGAGGCACTAACATCGTTGAGATGCCAGAGTGTGAGCAGAACAACTTGGCAACAACAGAAGAGGAGTGCTCTCATCTCTGAGAGACTTGCAATAAAAAATATCATCTGAGGAATGGGTAACTAGACAGGCCATGTACATGTCTCATGAAACAGAGGTCCTTCATCAAAATATCTAGTAATATAATTTGTAGCTTTTAAATCTGAGGTAATTGTGTCTAACCACTTCAGTGTACAAACTTGCATGTGATAGTGGTATTGGGAAAGTAATCGTATTAGCTTTGGTGACATCAAGATGCAGTAAAACTAGAGTCAGGCTTTTATGCTGATGTAGTTCTAAATACTGTAGACTATTTGGGGGTTTTCACTGATACTATGATTTTTCAGTTTTTGTGGGTGAGCAACATTGCTCACTTAAATTGCTGAATCTGTCAAAGCTTACCTGCTGTCTCTGTTCAATTCTCATTTTTTTTGCTTCATTATATGAAAACTAACCAAAACAAGTACAACCTGTGCAAATAGTAGTCAGACTTGTATTACTGGCCATCTAAAAGAACATTGTCAGGATTCGAACAACTTTCTTCTGTTATTAATCTTGGCTACTAGGTTTTGCCAGCTTCTACTTGTCCTTATGTCAGTTGTTTTTATGCTCTCCTCCTTTCGATCAGTGTCGGGTAAGACCACTCAGTTCTAACTTTCAGGTTCTCATGCACTTCTAACGCTGCACTACTTGATTTGCAGAACTGGAATGGGAGAAGGTGAGTGAGTGGATGCTGCCTATTCTGTATGTAATCACTGATGGGGCCTGGGTATCAACTTGTACTGATGCTTTTGCAGTAAATTTTAGCACGTTCTAACAAATGCTGTTGTCTCTTAGGTAGCAGAGGTTCAGCGGGCAGAGTTCAGCCCTGCCCAATTCTCTGGTCCCAAGAAGATTAATCTGAACCATTTACTGAACTTCACTTTTGAACCCCGTGGCCAAGCAGGCCATTTTGATGGGAATGGACATGGCAACTGGGGGAAAAGGAACAAGTGGGGACATAAGCCTTTCAACAAGGAGCTCTTCCTACAGGCCAAGTGAGTGGAAGACCAGCAGGGCTCTTAGGCTTCTGCAGAGACACTGAGCTGTAAGGAATGATCAGCCAGGGAATTGTGGTTGACCTTGACTACTTGTATTGACTTTTCCAGGGTGAAGTTACCTCTCTCTAATGTTTTTAGTGATAACGACTATACTTGAAAGGGATAAAAATATATCAAGTTGTCATCTTTACCTATTTATGAGGTATCTGATGGAGTGAGTCCTTCAGGTACAAACCAAGTAGTCTTCTGCTGTAATTTTCTAGCATTGCTTGTGGAACATGACACTCCATTTGGGAAGACCTGTGTGGTTCCCTTATGGAAGATGGTTGTTTTTTAAAAAAAACAGTACGTTGAGGTGGCAGAGGTAGCAGTTGCTGGATGAAAACTAATCTGAATTTCTAAGTCACAGAAGCAATTACTCATATGGATCTTAGTTCTTAAACTGCTGATTATTTCGCATGCCCCTAGGTATGTAGTATAACCCAAGTGATGATCAGTATAGTAATCCAGCAGTAGAATTGATTTTGACTGGAAATAATGATCACTTTCACTGGAATTTGAAGTCTGTTCAGGACTTCCTGTATCTGGTCATATTAAAGATAATAAAAAGTATTTTCAGCATCGATGCTTCTGATTTTTCCCTATTGTTTTGTGGCTTATTGTAGTGAAGTCTATTTGCAGGAAACCTAGTAGTTCTAGTTTTTGTGATCTGTTTTTTCCAGTTGTGGATTCCCTGTTTTTTAATAGATCCCCGGTCGAGCTGGCTGTTTCTTACATGTTTCTGGAAAACCACTTTGCCTGGCTCATTCTGTAGTTAGTATGTGATGTTGTGTCTAACTGAAATTAGACACACCTGTATTCTGGAAATCTGGTTGTGAATTGAACTCTCTTGGTTTTTGTTGGTAGAAGTTACTGACTGCGTCCAGCAGTTTTCTGCTGGACAAAGAAGAAACGCAGAGAATCCTATAGGATAGTTCTCAAAGAATTTTTAGAAACAACTGAGTGGATCATCTGTCTCTTTGCCTTTCCCCAGCTGCCAGTTTGTTGTCTCTGAAGAACAGGACTACACAGTCCACTTTGCTGATCCAGATACCTTGGTCAACTGGGACTTTGTGGAGCAAGTGGTCAGTTGTGATGGGATAGAATTTTTTTTTTTCTCCTTCTTATTAAGAAGCTCAACCTGTCTTTAACTGCCTTTTTATCTCTGTGATGTTACATAAAACTCAGCTGGTTTTGAGTTGAGGCCTCTTCTGTCACTCCCACAATACTGGGAAAGATCTGTCATGGAATATATTATGAAATACTTTTCATGACAGGAAAAGAGAAGTGCTAAAATCTATTAGGAAAATTAGCAGCTTCTTCTTGCTTTCGCAGATGGGAGCTCATCAAAAATAGTATCTGACATTCTGTAGACAGAGTCCTTGTGATTGAGATATTAACAGAAAACTTGGGCATGAGTCCATGGAAGAGAACTAGAGTGTAGAATTTTGAAGAATTATTCTGTGCATAGGTTGCCCATCTTGCCTAGCAACAAAATGGAAAATCTCTTGAGAATTGTGGTCAGAACTTTGGGTTGCCTCAAGTAGAAATGTATTATCTGCCAAGACTGGTCTTGGTGTAGGTGGAAAGGAGGTAGGCTTACTGTTACCTGATGCTACAAGAGAGCTGAAAAATCTAGGTGCTTGCTTGGCAGTTACGTCTCTGCAACATGCAGATGCTAACGAAGTGTCTGACTAAACTAGCATGTTCATGGAAAAATAGGTAAGTTCAGTTTCGCAGTTAAACCGGGCTGCGCACGTCCGCTTGTATAAGTGAGGCAACAGAGCTCATTTGCTGTCTTCTCAGTGTCTGAATTCAGATGGTGAAGATGCTGCTAACTCTTAGAGATGATGAATACATGAGGGGAAACATGGGAAGAGTAATTTTTTCTAATGTCATTAGAGTAGAAATACCAGGTGGGAGGCTTTGAAGGTTATTCCATGTGCAGTCCGAAGGTGTTACTTAGTTCAGCATACTTAATTACTTGGTAAATAAGCAGAGCCTAAAGAGCTGGAAAATTAATATGTTAGAGTAGATCTTACAGGTGGCTTATTTTGTAGCACAGGAACTGATTTTCAAGTCTAAAACTTGTACTGTTTTTCTCATGTGCCATTTCAGCGAATTTGTAGCCATGAAGTGCCCTCTTGCCCAATATGTCTGTACCCACCAACTGCAGCAAAGATCACCCGCTGTGGGCATATCTTTTGTTGGGCATGTATCCTTCACTATCTCTCCTTGAGTGAAAAAACCTGGAGTAAATGTCCTATTTGTTATGGCTCTGTTCACAAGAAGGACCTCAAGAGGTGAGACTTGATACTTATTAAATGATGTATCTTTTTGAAATGTTTTTACCCTACTGACCTCCTTACATTGCAGTGTTGTTGCTATGGAAACACGTCAATATGCAATTGGTGATATCATTACGATGCAACTTATGAGAAGAGAGAAAGGTGTTTTGATAGCACTGCCTAAATCTCAGTGGATGAATGTGGTGCAGCCTGTTTATATCGCAGGTGAGTGTATCTGAGTACCAGTGGTTGGCATCCTGCTCCTAACTGTGACTAGAACTTGTGTAGCGAGGATTTACCACGGCAATGCCATACTGTCATCTTAAAATAAACCAGACTACAAAACATGGATTTTAGCAGCTGAAAACGTTTATGATCACATATTAATAATCTTTCTACCCGCACTTTGTGTGCTGTTTCCCCTCAATTTACTGCACTGCAAACTCCTGCCTTCTCAATCATTGGTATTAGTTTGATGTGTGTTTTGTATCATACAGTCATTGATGTGACTCTTACTGCTTTTGTTGGCTCTTCAGTGTCCTTAACTTTTTTTCCTCCTGGCTCCTCGTTATACAGCTTAGCAAAAATAACTGTCTCTGTCTAAACTATTTCAAGTATGTAATCTTCAACAAGGTTTTCATCATCTTCACTTATCAACTAAAATCTGTGAATGATATGGGAAAAGAATCAAAATTATTGCAAACCTATTCCAAACATCTGTTGCCTGACTTCTTCAGTTTTCTCCACTCAAGTGATGTGACTAACACATCATCTTATCTGTTAGCATCACAAAAATTTTGCGACTAAAGAAATCATTTTACTTAACATTGCTGTTTTGTGGGCTGTCTTGGCTCACTTCATTTTGCAGTCACATTTATGAAAGGCTGCGTGCGTTTAAGCTCTCTGTAAAAAGTCAAGTCTCCTAACGCATGATGGATATCCAGCATGCAGGGTGTGTGCTTACATGTTGCTCAGTATTTGAAAGTAAAGGAATTTAAATCCTTTCATAAAACAAACAAAAGAACAAATATGGGGTTTGACATCGTTCTAAACCCAGGAAAAATTCAGCATTAACTTGGTGTTCTGTAGACAAGGTTGGGCCCTTGGGGAGCAGTGAATATAGGGACTATAGTAGTATGAGATGCTATGGTTGCTGTAAAGCTTATAGTTAAGATAGGCTCTCTAGTAACAAAGATGACTACCTTTTGCTAAACTTGCAGTTCTTTAGCTTGCTATTTCTGCTGTGCTTTTTGTAAAAACATCATAATAATGTTTTGTACTAATTTTTAATACATATGGGCTTAAGAACTAGTTGGAGCCGAAACAGAGATCGTTTTTGCAGAACTTTCCAGTTGCAGTATTTTGAGTATATAGAGAAGAGGAAGAAGCTGCAGACTGCATTGTTTCAGGAAGTTTTGAGCACCCAAGGCTTCTCAAAGGTGATGCTTCCATAGCATAGAAGTTTAGACATGACTTTTTTTGATGTGTAGCAACTGAGTGGTGAAGTGACAGGTTGAAAGTGACAGATAAACTGCTGTTTTGGGGAGATGTGTGTAGCAGAGCAGGTACGTGGCACCAACTTGTGTCATCAGTGATATAATGGTAATACGTGGAGTCTGCATCTAACTCTTGCTAAGTATATTGTCTGCCCTGGGGTGGGTTAACTCACAAAGCAGTAACAAAACTTCAGAAGAAACAGCAGTCCGAACTGGTGCGTGTACACGCAGATATTAATGATTTGGTGCTCCTTCTGTTCAGATGACCAGCACAGTCAGTATTCAAAGCTGCTTCTGGCATCCAGGGAGCAAGTCTTGCAGCTGGTGATTCTGGAGGAGAAAGCAGCGTTACTAAAACAGTATGAGGAAGAAAAACACACCCCAGAGGCTTGCTTTATTGAGGCAGCTATCCAGGAACTGAAGGTGAGAACCTCTTTGGAGGCTTTTAGTAGCTTTATTTTTAAGAGTACGTTGAGTGCTGAGCATCTATGTTCTATTGTGTAAGTGGTTGTGTGTGAGTATCCTGGTCTCCACAATGTACATACTAGCAAGATGGTAATGTTTGCTGCTAGAATAGCATTATAAATCTTGGACGAGACTGTAGCCTTTGGACCCCAGGTATCTGGTGCGATGTTCAAGATAAGAGAGCAGAATGCTTTTTACTGAATGGTATTCCATCCATAAGTGTAAAGGAGTTCTACTGTCAAAGGAAGATGTGTTTCCCTTTCAGGTACAGCAATTTCTGGGATAACTTCTGTGGGGCAGACATGAGCAAACCTGCAGAATATTCCTTTTCAGAGCCTTTAGGCATCCTACAATGAGTGCGTTTTCCAGTAACAAGAAGGAGAGGACCTCTCTTCAAGGATCACTCTGTCACAAATAAATTACAGATCTATGAAAACCTGAAGTATAGGACAAAGTTAAAAATAACTCTGGTGATAGTCTCCTGGCTTAAATAGCAAATTAAAACTTGTTCTCTTTGGATGACCTGTAGGAGCGAGAAACAGCACTCTCTGCTGACCAAGATAAAAACAATGGCGTTGCTGGAATCAGTGCAGCTGTGGAGGAATTGGTCCTAGAAAGCTCCAAGGCTGTGGAGCCTGCAGTTTCCCAAGAGAAAAAGGTGGGTGACAACTCTGGTTCTGCAGATCTTGTTAATACTTAATTCTGCCACTTTACACTGCAGTGTATGGTGAACTGGTGCCAAAGATTTTTGCAGAGATGATAATCTTTTGAAGGAGGTGATGTGGTACTAACTGTATGCTCTCTGCTATGATAGTGTGGTGTGGAATATCTCTCTGCATTTGATGAGGAGCTTGTGGAGCCTTGCTCTGATCTGGCAAGTTCCTTTTCGCCACCTGTGGAAGCAGAAGAGGCAGTGCTGGATGAAGCTGAACTTCCTGAGGTGGACACTGTAGGGGAACCTGATATGAACACTACAGAAGAACCAAATCCAGCTGAAACAAGCTACCAAGAATCTAAAGATACAATTAGCAGTGGACATCTTGGCAACTCTCCTTTTTACTATTTCTATCAAGGTCAGTGCAATGAAATCTTGGAATCGTGGGGGCAGAGATGCCTCATTTTGGATCCTTCTTGAGGGAGATGTTTGTCACTTCGTAGATGCAGCTAACCCCTGTGAAATAAAAGTCCCACAGAAACTCGGAAAGGAGCTTTAATTTTATTACTGGAGGATGTACTGAGGTGGGGAGAAGGGTATTGAAAATTAACAGGCAAATAACAAGTGATGATAACTTATCTTATAGCGGAGGATGGACAGTGTATGTATCTTCACCCTGTGAATGTTCGATGTCTTGTTCGTGAATATGGCAGCTTGGAGAAGAGTCCAGAGAAGATAACTGCATCTGTAGTGGAGATAACTGGCTACTCAATGACAGAGGTAGTTATTTTATATTGTTATTAATTAAGGGCCTTGTTTTAGCAGATTGATCATTGTAGCTGACAATGAGACTTGTTTCTCTTCAGTAATAAGAAATCATAACTATGAATGGGTAAGCATGCTAATCTGTGAAGGGCATCTGTGTAAGGTCCAGTACCTTATGTTGCTTTTGATAAGTAGGCTGCAGTCTAGCTTTTTTTTTTCCTCTAGAAAGTAGGAAGTTCTGGGAGTAAGAGAATTGTAAGCTTAAGATTGGTTTGTTGATAAAGCTGTCTTAAAGAAAACTACTTTCTGATATAAGACAGTAGCTTGAACTAGACAGATTATCATCTTTCTCAGCCTGAAGAAGTGCTCTGCCTCTCTCTTGAGCAAACAGTTGTTTCTGAGCATCAAGGGTACAGATGGGATGTTATAAAAACAAAGAGGATGGAAAGAAACTTCAGTGTTTGAGATAGAGGGAGTGACAGTGCGTAAGGCACTGAAGTTCTGGAAGAGAGGATAGGTCTTGAATTCCTTTACCTCAGATAAAGACAACTGTAAGAATTTGTGTGTGCAGTAACAACTATACCTAATTCTTAATTCATCTTTAAGAAAGGATATGCTCAAGTAAGAATGGATGCAGAGGTAGCAGGGAATTGTCTTCAAATTTTTTGACTCTGTGAGGAAAAATATAAAATTTGGCTTGTTTCAGTGTAGCAAAGTGGTGGTCATTGGTCCAAATAACTTAAATGTAAAAGGCAAATTTGGTCCAGTGCAAAAATAATTGCATTGGAAGACTGGTATTGTAGAATTTTATTCCAGCAATGTGAGTGAGAAGGGAGGAATAACAAGAAAATCAGTAAGCGAGCTGGAGTAACTGCATTGAAATCTGATTGTGATGTAGTTGGTGGAGATCTTGGAGCATTTGGTTCTGACCCAGGGCATCCTTCATGTGTTTGTAGTTTATAAAGTGATTATTGTGTCACTGCTGCTATTTTTTTTTCATTTGATTTGATGAATAGTGGGTGTTTTATCTCCATTCGTCAGTATGGCAGCCTCTAGACCGTGTTGTGATGATATATCTGCTCTTTTTTATCAGGATATAAGACAGCGTCATCGCTACCTCTGTCACTTGCCCCTCACCTGTGAGTTCAGCATTTGTGAACTGGCTCTGAAACCACCCATCATCTCTAAGGAGACTTTAGAGTTGTTTTCAGGTTGGTACTACCTTTCTAGTAGGCTCTGTCTTGTATCCATGAGGGTGAAGGGGAAGTTGTTCTTATCCCTTAATGGCAGAAAAAAGAACATACATAGCAGCTTTACTCCTCTTGCACCAACTGTCTAATGACTACTAGACAGAACAACCCCAGTTCACTGTTTTATAGACAGCAATTATACAAAGAATAAAAAAGCCTGGCTGCTTGGAAGAGCATATGTTGTTTGTAAGCATATTTTGTTACTAACGTGTTATAACCGAATACATTGTTCTCGAAGCTGGAGAAGACATTACCAAAGTATTGGTGTGGGTTTTTTGGTATCCAATGCTGTGCATTGCTCCTAGATGACCTTGAAAAGAGGAAACGTCTACGGCAGAAGAAAGCTCGTGATGAACGACGACGTGAACGCAGAATTGAGATAGAAGAAAACAAGAAACAGGGCAAATGTAAGTCATGATTGAGCATAACTAGTGGATTTCCAGTTGTCTTTAGTTGCTGAGCTGATTCCTTGACCTATAGGATGAACTCTAAGGCATTTAGTTTGTAGTGTGTACTTAGAACAAGATTACGAAGTATTGGAAACAATGTCTGTAGAGTGAAAAATATAAGCTGTTTTAGTCAGGATGTTAAATGATGTTATGCAATTGCTGCATACTTGCACATTATGGGAAAGACAGAGGGCATTCGAGGGCATGGCTATCTCCATGGTGTATATAGCTCTCAGAATTCTTAGTTTCTGTTTTTATAGTAATCATGATACAGAGTGAAAAGTGAAGAAGGAAAAAAAAGTGCCTAGGAACTGCTTCCATCCAGCAGCAGGGCTTGTACTGGCCTCTAAAACAGAGGGTGGAAAGAAAATTGAGTTGGCACCTTGTAGACTCCTGAAACAACTTGCATAGACAGTCCTCCTCCACATTGTGTAGTGCTTTAATTTAAAACCTCTTTCTAGATCCAGAGGTCCATATTGCATTAGAGAATCTGCAGCAGTTCCCTGCTTTTACCTCCTGCCCCAGAGAAACTACCAGCACTGGTCATCAGAACTTCTGTCTCTCTCCTCTTGGCAGAAGCCCTGTGTTTCAGACAGGTGAGCATCTGGAAAAACACATCACATCGAGCTCTTGATCATTCTTTTGGGTTCTACTGCTCACGTCATCACACTGAACTTTCTTAATACTCATCAAAGACTGCTTCTTTCCTAGATTGCTTATGAGATCATACACAAAAGGCTGACACGGCTAAGAAACATTCTGGTCCTTTGCTTTTTACTACCTCTACTTCAGTGACAGTATGAGATCTGCACTGTAGTTACCCCATCTTTTATATCTTTGCTGAGGCAGAAGAAAAGAAAGGAAAAAAATTCCCCCAAAAGGGAAGAAAAGTGTGTACGCCAGGAAAACACTACTGGCGTTTTTCCTTTCTACTCTATCCATCTTCCCCACCATGTTATACTAAAATAAAACATAGTTGATGAGCACTCAGTTAGGTCGTTGTCCAGTGGTGCTTTACCAAATGTTTTATCTTGCAGTTCATAAAAGATATTTGATATGTTTTTCTCAACAACCACCCCCCCAAAAAAAAACCCCCAAACAACAAAACCAAAACACACAACATCCCAAAATAAGCAAACAAAAACCCACAAACAAACAAACAAAAACCCAACCAAACTTAAATCTCCCTTAAATAAAAAGATTGAGGAAATTTGAGAGGTCAGGCTGTGTGACTGGTGGATGGAACTGATGAGATAAAAATGGTTAATTACATAAGATAATAAAACTTTATTTCTGTTTCATCCTGATAATGAGTGCCTTTCCCAAATGCAACTGGCTTTAATTCTCTGCTGCTTTCTCTGTAGAGTCTATTCCAGCTCCACTGTTACCTGCTGACAGCCAGGTCAGCCCATTGCTATGTGGGAGTTTAGAAGAGGAGTCTCCCTTCCCTTCCTTTGCCCAGGTAAGCCATGTAGCGGAGTAAATCTTGTCAGAATTTCTTGTGTCTTAGTTGGGGATTAGTATGAGAACACAATTGCTTCTCCCCCAAAAACAATGCGGGATGAATCTTACGGAGACAACAGAGGGTTTCAGTGCTTGAAGGGGTTCCTAGATTTTCTTGCCACTTAGGGGATATGCAGGATTGTTCTAGTATGTGGGATTTAATCGTATCTTACAACTTTTTTGATAGATGTTGAGAGTTGGAAAGGCAAAACCAGAAACATGGCCCAAACCTGCTCCAAAGACAAGAGGTAAGAAAATTTGGTATTACAACTTCAGGTTCTTTACTATGCGTCTAAATCTAAGAAATCTTGTAACTTCATAAGAAACATCTGGAGTGTGGAGAGGCATTTGCACTGCGAAAATTTTATACGGCCTTCTGCCTCTCAAGGCCCTTTCTTTCTTTCAGATGAGAACACTCTGGCACTCCCTGTGCCAGTGGATAGTGATGGAGAAAGTGACAGCTCTGACCGCATACCTGTGCCCAGCTTCCAGAATTCCTTCAGCCAAGCTATTGAGGCAGCCCTCCTGAAACTGGACAAACCGTCCACAGCTGATCATTTATCAGGTAAAAGGCAGGGTGGGGGAGGGGAAGGCATGAAAAATTTCTGAAGTGAAAAAATTGAATATTTCCCCTTCTTCCTCTGGGAGGAGCGAGAGCAGCAATTTTGGGGACCAAAAATTGGCTGGAGAACAGTTCTGAAAACTGTCAGGTTGTTGTTTCCGAACAGCTTGACTAGGGCTTCTGTAAGCTTAAAGCAGCTCTCTCAGTGGGAGCTGAGAAGATTTCCAGCTAGCAAAGAATCCTGTTAGGACAAAGATGGCAAACATGACTGTCAAAAGCCATGTCTATACTGGAACTTAATTTAAGCTTTATCTCAAGGAAGTTCAGGTTATGCACTTTTAAACTAAAAATACCTGAGCTGCTGAACTACCACTTAAGTTTGACCAAAATGTCAAGGTAACTGCTAGCTGAAATTTCAAATTAGGGAGTCTGAAACAAATTGAGATGAACTTAAACCTCCAAGCCTGGTGCTGGCAGATAAAACTCATTTATAATGCTCAGTTCTGATGTTTAGCTTTGGCTTCTGTTTGAAGACTGCATTGAATGATGGGGAGAGTTGGGTGAGAGGGCCTGGGAGTTTCAGTGAAATTGAGTATCGGCTCCAGTTGTTGTGGTTTTTGGACATGGATGAAAGCGATACTTGTCTGAAAGCCAAACTGCTGCACACTTGCAGTCCTAAGATCTGCTGTTGCAACACCAACTTTATTAGGCGTTTATAGGTGTCGTTTAGGTGTGATGGAGTCTCCCTTAGTTTGCCTGCAGTAATTTTTTTGTTAAACTACCTGATGCTCAGTGAGTTGATAGAAGTGTCACAGACCTGTAAAGGTTATGCTAGGGAAGACCACTTATCATTTCTGTGTGATGTTCCTCTTCCATGAGAAGAATGACAGTATCATTTTAATTCTTCACAGAGGAAAAGGGAGGCAAGAAAAGAAAGAAACAGAAGCAGAAGCTATTGTTCAGCACCTCTGTTGTTCACACAAAGTGATTCTGCTATTCAAGAGAAGTTTCCACTCCTGGTTTTCTTTTCATTTTGCTTTGTTTTGCTGCTATAGTTTAAGTATTTAAATTTGAACAGACTAAACTTGTGTTCCCAGGGCTTCTAGGGGGTTCAGGAGGAAACCATGACAGTATATGTTGAAGTAAGATCTTTTGATTCCAACTGCTTAATCAGTTTATACTGAAACAAAGTTTTGAAAGAAACAACCCAGAGACAAATCAGCCAAGGCTTCTAGTCTGCCAAGTCAGTTCTTTTGGCCTAATAAGCAGTATGAAAGGTTTTACAGCTGTGTGGCACTGCCAGAATACTGCAATATTACCTAAGTGAAGAGGCAGAGCGCCTTTATTTCCCTAGAAGTATTTGTGGGCAGAAGTCATTCTGACTGTGACGGTAGTGCTGTTTCAGTAAAGCTGTCAAACTGCTCTCTTGGGAAACTGGTTTCTGCTGCACTGGAAATGAGCAAAAGAGCTTACTGGCTTTAGAGTGTTAGCTGCTATAGCTGTTCTTTTTTTAAAGAGCAAGAATTCCTCCTGTTCTCCTGGCTTGGAAAGATTTAAAGCTGAGGTGAGTGTAAAGCAGAACTTGGCTACTTGGTTTTGAAGTGACTCTTGATGAATTTGTGTATTTCAAAATGCATACTGGCACTAGTGGTAGAAGGAACCTCCTGGCTTATCTCAGTTGTTCAACTGTTTTAATGTGGGTGAGTGAGGCTGCTAATTTTTTTTTTTTTTTTTTTTGCCAACCATGAGCTACACCTTCTTTGTAACCTGATCATCTAGAATAAACACTCCACCGCAGGGCTCTTGGTAACTACCTGAATGTTTTGACATTGGCTGCTTTTGAATTGGAAGAACAACTGATAGCTGGAGTCTGTAGATAACTTTCATCCCCCAGCAAGAAACTGGGGTCTCTTGTACTGGGATAAGGGCCTGTATCCGCTTGGTTCTGGGATGTAAGTTGATCTGCCCTAAGCACCTCGGGCTGTAAACATGCCTCTTCTGGACCTCTCCCTGCTTTTTCTTTGGGTGGTCACATTCTGCACTGCTTGTGGTTTGATTTGAGCTAATGAGTTAAGTGGTATGGATTTTGTTGAATAAAATGAACTATAGGTGTAATGTACCAGTCAAGGCCAACAGTTGCAATAAATCATACGCACACACACTTACAGTACTGCACAGTTCCTGAGCTATAACTGAACTGTCATATCAACATGGAGCACAAGGACACTTAGTTGCACAGATTTGCTGACAGAATTCATTCCAGGTATGAGTACCACCTAACTTACAGTGCGAGACTGACAGTGTCTTCTGTTACCTTTGGCCTCACTTGCATCAGTGGTCTGCCTGCATTTGCGCAGGCTTAAAAAAGTTGATGTGCTCTCTCCCTCTGACACTGTGACCGATTGGAGCAAGGAGGTGTGTGTTTGAGACTGCTGGAGTCAGGTATTCTAATGCCACTGGTAAAGTCATTGGTTGTGTCCCTATTTAAAAAGTTTATGTCAATGCATTGATGCTTGATTTCAAAGAAATAGGCTCCATGTTATACCAGTGCTTCCTCAAGACACTTAGGCACGTGCGCACGGGAAGCTAGTACCAAAGAGTGTACTTCACAAAACTCTGCATGTGGCTGTAAATCAGAAAGAAGGGGGTGAGGGGGAAGGTAAAGAATACTTCAACTGCTACAGGAGGATAGAGGAAATGCCATGCTAAACATTCTTTGAAAGCAGCTTGACTTCATGCTTGGTCACAATTAACTACTTGATGGAAAGACAGTGCAGCTTGTCAAGAGACTGCAAGGAAACTAAGACAAGATGCCTGAAAGTGGTAGCACATCTTGCTTTACATGCACGTTGGAAAATTATTGGTGAGGGCAGAGAAAGCAACTAAGTAAAGATTCAAGTATGCAGTTAACTGCATTCACAGCACTATTGTTTCCTATTTGTAATAGTCATTTTAAGCCATGGAACAGGAGTAACTACTTAGTGTCTAACCAGTATCTGTTGTGTTCTATTATCTCTACACATTTATAGTCAACTTTTCTTTGCATTGGGAAGAGAGACAGAATAGCTGGAGCTGGTGTAACTCGCCTCCACGCAGGCACTAGAGCAAGGGAAGCAATGTGGGCAAAGAGGATTGTCCCTTCTGCAGGGGCAGTCTCCACAGGACAGCATCTTCAAGTTGTATCTTGTTTTCCTATGGATTCAAGAGATAATACCAGCAATGCTACTTTCCTGTAACTGATTGGTGTAAACTTAATAAATATCTAAGCAGTACTTGTACCTATGAGTTTTATAATGGGTCGGAGGGAGTTGAGCCTTACAGCTCTACCTTGCATTCCCTGTAATCTCTGTTCCTGTGTACACAACTGGTGCTTTTGTGACTCAAAACAATGGATAGCCCTATGGATAACAGGTGCACTTGAAGATAAGGTAAAAAACAGTAAGAAGTTAATACTTTTTCTGTACTGAAGGAGAATAACTACATTCCTTGTCCATGCCAACTGCCTAAAGCTCACGTCTACCTCAGCGTGAAGATTACACCGAGCTGCTACACTCTTAAAGAGTGCAAGTGGTTTTGACTCCTGGAGTGAAACAGGCAAGTAACCTTCTTAAGCAAAACCGTATATTTTTTTAAAAATTTATTTATGAACATTTGGAATAGGGGAATGAAATCTAAATATGAACAGATCCTTTTTCTGTCCCCTGCTTTGTTTAACACTGAAGGTAACTGGTGACATCTTGATTACACAAGTACAGGACAGAGGTGAATGGTAACAAGTAACGTTCAGTCTGTCTCTGTGCCATCATCTTCCTCATCTCCACTTTGAGACTGCTCTTCTGTAAGGGAACAGCTCAACAAGGACTTCTGTATACACCATCTTTCCTCTGCAATAAAGAGAGCAACAGAGGGTCGTTACTTTGGTCTCTTTGCATACACTGGAATATCCTCAACTTCTAAAGAAGGGAACATTTCTCAGTTCAAGAATTCAGAAGTAGCCCAGCATATCCTACAACACCCCCAGGAATCGAGGCCGCATTTTAGGAAAGAGGCTGAAGGAACTCACCTTCATTTGTACAGTTTTGCAACAACATCAGCAGCTGTCTTCTATTATACTGAATTAGAAATTTCTGACATGTTCTTATGGTACCTGTAGGAGTACAAGAACAATATGTAACAACCTACAAAACCAAGTGTTTCAGAGCTGCTAGTATATTTTCTGAAGATCATTGTATCAAGTGACAAATGCCCGAGGCAACAATTTTATTAATGCAAATGCCAAGAAGGGGCTGTAGACTTCATTTCCACAATGGTGGAATAATAATTTCCAACATGTAGTGTCTGTTATGTGCCCGAAGGGGTTAATTTTCAGGACACAGATGATACTATACTTTGAAAATATATTTTCAAAAAGAAAATAATGTCATATAGTATTTGCTGCTCTGGTTTTGTGTTAAATGTAATGAAGACTCAAGCAGAATTAAGGAGGGTTTCAACAAAGAACTGGTGCCTGTTTCTTATGTAGATCTGCTGGAAGCTGCTAAGTTGGCAACACATCAGATGTGTGTATTGCACCCACAGCAGTAAGGTGGGGTTCTTCCATTTTAGCAGGCCTGGAAGGTACGATTTAAGCTCCGCGGCCTGCCCCCAGGCCCCAGAGACTCCGCACCCAGCAGAGGGGCAGCTTAGGCAGCGGCTGACCTCCGACGTGCAAGGTGTTGAGGAAGCAGGGGTACCGCTGGTTCCGGCTCTCCAGCTGCCTCACGAAAGGGAGCGCGGAGCAGAGCAGTCTGTAGGAGTCCTTGCGGCACCGCAGGAGCACGGTCCCGGTGTAGGCGTTCAGGTACTTCACTGCAGGGGCACACACGCACCGGTGAGCCCGGACCCTCGCGCCCCGGCCCTTCCCGGAGAAGCCCCCTCACCCCCTCCACCCGGGGGTA